GCATAGCGGCATACCCGAGCTCAACACCTTGCCGGATATGTTCGCGAGTGCACGTTCACCTCTACTAGCTGGACAGCCGGGAACGATTTTACTACCCCCACTTTTGTCCCCGCGACGCTGCATTTTCGTCGCATGGAAAAGGTTACGATACGAGACATCATAGTCAACGCAAGCATGCTCATCACGCTCGTTGGCATGCCTTTCCTTCGTACTGTCACGATAGAAGAAGGCGCACTCGTCGCCGGATCCGCAGACCTGCAGTTCCGTGCAGCTCTGGCACCCTCCACGAGCAAATGGACAAGTTTCACCTTCAAACCAGCTTTCTTCGGGACCGCGTGGTCAGGCTTTCTGCAAAAGATTGTGAACTTGGACGGTCTCGAATATCTGTCGTACGACGTCGGGCGAATCAATCCTGCGCTAGTACTGTTCCGATCCGACTCTGTGGTGTTGTGTCTCAAGGAGCTGTTCGTTCGCCTAGAGAGCAGCTTACTGACTGGGCTGGTTCCTATCTTGGAGCGCGCCCCTAGGCTCTTCCGGCTATCAATATCCCATCGTCACTGTCCGGATTCTACGACATGGCAGCAGCCCGATCCTCTTCCGCCGAAAATCATACCCCACCTACAAGAACTAATTACGACGCATGAGAGTGTGGTCTCGTGGCTACTTCCAGGGAGGTCCGTGTCATCGTTGACAATCAGCGGCGATGCAAGTAGCGGCGAAGCGTTCCTCGCCGCTACAAAAACCTCCGCAGCCGGCATACGCGAGCTGAATATCTCTGTCGACCTGCTATACATACTAGCACAAGAAGGCTGGCCTGCTCTGCGTACTCTCTCCGTTCAACAAAGCACCACGCCTAATCTGCAAAGCCTGCCGCTGCCTGTGAGTTTACTCAAACAAGTGAGTTATTGGTGAAGTGCTGACATCATCATCTACTCGCTGCTCCTCAGAGCGCCTTCAGGGCACTTCAGCCGCTTCCCTCGGTCACTTCGTGGGTGTATCACATCGGCAGCAGACACAGGAAAGATCGGGTGGACCTAGTCAACCTGCGTCTTCAACAGTCGGAAATAATTACCAAGTTGGAAATCACATTCCCGAACGCAGACCGATTCAGATTTGGCGAGGCCATCGAATGGCGACGAGATGGTTCAGGGTCAAGAGAGTGGAGACCATGCGTGCACTCTCGGATCTTGCTCTTGGATTTATTGGTTGAGGAATACGACGAGATGCAGGACGTGGCTGGGTTCCTAGCGGTCTTTCGAGCCGCAAATAATTATTGTAAAGACATGGAACTGGTATGACATTTGGCTTTGTACGGCGCCGAGTAATACGGGGGGTTTATATGTTTGCGTACATGTTTCAAACGATATACTTGAATACTCTACTACTTGTAGAATGGCTGCGGTACTGTGTTCGTGTGGGTAGATGCTGTCTGTATCATATATCATGAGGCGTCGTAGCTGCAGCAATGTGTACAGAAATACATGGCAATTCGCGTTGAAAAGTCGCTCTGGAACGTTAACTCAGACGCGTCGGCACGCCCAACGCGTGTGCCCGCGCTCATTACGATAGGCGCTTATCAGCCAGGCACCTTGACAGCCTCCTGCGGTTGCACCGGCGAGGCAGGGCGAAACCAAGATGATCTCCTAACCGCCTCCGCTCTCAACTATCCCAATTCTCTGTATACCTGTGCTCGAAGTACATATACCATCACCACACAGCGAATCACTCCTGTGCTTCCACCCAGTGCCCACCTATTTAAGATTCCTCGAACATGGACCAAGACGACCTCCATCCGGAAAGTCCGCTTATGACCATGACCAACTCCTTCCTGGGCGACGGCATGCTTTCTCTGTCCATTCCTGGCCCTTCGAGGGACCCAACATACTACATTCCGGATGGAAACAGTGTGCTGCTGGTAGAAAATACGCTGTTCAGGGTGAGCGTCGTTCATTGAAGCTCTGCTGCAGTGTCCTGACATCTGGTCTAGGTTCACAGATCCACCCTAACCAAGGACAAGTCTGCGTTTGAGACTATGTTCCAGCTCTCTTCGGAAACGGACTCCTCGCGCTCAGAGTCGAGTGTCACACTTGCCATGGAGGGCGAAAGCGACGACAATCCCATTCGCCTACAGGGTGACACCGCAGACGAATTTCGCGCCCTACTCTGGTCCCTCTACGCCCTGTAAGTGCACACCTTCTATTATATGCTTTTGTATCTCATCTGCTCTGTCCTTAGCCCACATGAATTGCTGGTCGCAATGACACCCGAAGCAGACCCAATGCAGCTTGTTGCTCTCGCCCGAATAACGAACAAGTATCAGTTCCGCTCATTAGAAACTTGGGCTCTCAGTGCTCTCACCACCTACTATTCAAGGCCAGGTGCCTTTGACGATGTCCCAACCACCAGCCCTCCCGCTGTCACCCTCCCACACACTGGCGGCGCCACCCCACCCTCTCAGCCATCGCTACTCCAGATCACCGAGCTTGCCGCCCTTTGCGAGCGTCCTGACCTGCTGGAGACAACGACTATACGCTGGAAGCGCCTCATTGGCGAGGGCAAAGACCTCGCGCTTGCAGTCCGTGTCGGCGAGCAGTTCCAGTTGCGACAGATGCTCGGTCTCGCGTACCATGCCATGATGCTCCGGGGCAAGCCTGCGTGGGACTCAGACTCCGTTCTAACGCGCGACCAACGCGTGCGGCTGCTGTGCGGGTATTACTCGCTGGGCAAGCTTTGGGACACGCTTGCCACCACCCCGCCTCCGCTGTCCCACAGCCAACGCTGTGGTAGCCAGCAGCGGTGCACGAAGGCTTTCGGGAACGTGTGGAAAATGATCCTCGACATATCTCCGCAGATGATACTTGTGCAGCAGCGCGAGGACGTTCTCAGCAAGGTCATGCTCGCGGAGGGCATGATGCGCGCAATGGTTAAGGACGAGATCTCGCCACAGGGCTTCTTCGACGGCATGCAGACGTGCAAGGAGAATGCGCTCTTTGCAGTGAGCATGCGCATCCGGGAAATTAAGGAATCTTTGGCAGACCATTTCATGGATGAGTTTTAATTTCACTCGCTCTGCTGTCTCTCTGCTTATCCACCCTATTGCTGTTGTTCTGATCTATGATATCTTCTGTACAAGCATTGTCCCCGTGTAAGAAGTACTAGTTTTCTCCCCTCTAATGCTACTGCAGCGCTGTCATTGTTAAATATTCATAGAAAGTCACTTGTAAGAGCAAATAGCTCGAGACTCGTTGCAACCCATGTTCTGATCAGCGCGGTCCATCGCCAATAAATTAGTACAAGGCCACGTACGTCAGGTTCTAACGTGAGCAACATTGGCGTAGAAGCCTGTGTCTAGTCGATGCAAGATGGTGTCATCCTTGGTGTGGTGATAGAAGAATATGGATTCGACAAAGCGTATCTTGACTTCTAGCAACAAAACCATACAACGTCCGCGAGCTGCGGCAGCCTCTTGACACGAATGACCGTTAGAGTTTTGGCTGAGACGGAGGTACCTTGACGTGCATCCCACTGGCGACTATGCGTCCGTTGGTCACGTCGTATATCTGACTGGTGGTCAGCGGGACGATGTATTACAGACGATATGCGCAAGTACCTCAGCTCTAGCAGTTATGACACGAGTGCCGATGGCCACGGTCGAGTTCACTATCTTCAATCTGGTACCGCTGTAACCGCATCAGGAGGTGGTACTTGCTCGGCATTGAAGCTTTGAAGACCTACAGAACAGCCGGCGCATGAAATGTCACATTCAGAGTCAGAGATACATGCCCATTCCAAGTCGGGCTATCCTTCGTCAGGACAAGGTTCCTAACAAGGGATGTGCAGCTGATGTAATATTGAGCAATTTCGGACAAGCTCGTTACGCAATAAGATCCTCACAAGTCTATGAGTGTTGCCGCACATCCACCGTGCATGTCACTAAGGTAATTGCACATGTCTCCACAATCCAGACTATTAGTCAGCCGCTGACTCTCCAGAACATTGTAGTCGATACAGCTCACCCCGAGTGACGACAATTTCGAACACCAACCGCCCTTCCTTTCTTCCCGGAGTATCGTTGTTCTCGAAGATGAGAGCTTCCGTGACCTCCAGCCTTGAGCATATAGGCTTTGCGAAGACTTGCGTCGCTCTGCTGGCCCTCCACCATTTCACATTGAGGTCCCTCAACTCCTGAGGTACGTTCCCCTTGGCATCCCTCATAGACTTCTCGAGGATATCCATCTCCTCGCCGCTCCTGGGGTCCATGATGGCTGTCTGTTAGAAATCTCTGGTTTCCTCTGGTCTATGTTGACGGGACCATATGCATTGTCCCACGTCGGCAACTCGGGGAACGAATGCCCGGGCGTCACCATCAGGTGTGGTCCTTTGCGGCGAGCATACTTCCTTTTGTCCCTCCAGTGCGAGGTGCGCTGATGGTGGGCTGAGTTAGACTTAACGCTAGTCTCGTGTGTATAATATGTACTGGAGATCCGAGCAATACATCGACCTGCCAGGGAATATATATTAGCCACGATCTTCGAGCTTCGGGCCCTCGGCAAGTCGAACCTTGCGCGACTCAGAGCCGCTCCGCTCCTACGCTGTGTTGAGGCATAGCGCACGGAACACAATTGTCAGAAAAAGAATCTGGACGCTCATGATAAGAGCGCTCAACTGCGTGCAGACTGACTGGTAAGTAACTGGGTAAGCTATTCTACTAACGACAGTAAGGAAATAGTGTAATCCAGTTTCTTACGTCTTTTGCGCTACTTACTTTGAGCGTCTCCTGACCAATCTCAGGCGATATCACGAACTATTTCCCTCTTCTCATGATGACCCTAGACTCTCAAGCCTCATTAGTAATCTGGATGCTACAAGATAATTAAATTTTTTCTGACACAGAAGGCCTCATATAGTCATGCAGCTGAATCCCAATCCCGAGAACATTAGACAGCGTGATACTCTGGGCTACGTTTTCTATAAATGCTTGTGAGGAGAAATAAGGGTCTAAGCCTCACGCCAGCAAAAGCATCTCCGGTTGCTTTATTGGCCTTGTCGCCCTTAGCAACTATGGCCCACATATTCCTCCCCGGAGCTTGAGCAGCATGAACGATCGAGTGGACAATATCTCTCTTGCTATCCTGTACGGTGTTGTCTAAGTGAGCCAATCATAATAACGACACGAGATGGAGCCGCAGCTATACGTACCATAACAGAACGCACCGGGACCAGAGACAATTAGCAACAATCGCGCAACGCAACCGGGCGGCGAACCAAGTGCAGTGTTGCTTCTTGTTTCGCCTGTCGAGACAATAGCATTCGAGGTTGCGTGTAGCGCCCGATGGCACACTCCCCAACCGATCTTTCGCGATCGTCCGCTGCTGGCCACCATGCTGCGGTGGATACACTATAAAACAGAAGCAAATGGTAGGGAGTGCGACCAAGATCCAAGCTTGCCCATCCTACTCACCAAATAGTCGTTCGCTGGCGCAACGACAACAATTCCCGTCTCTCCTTGACCATGGACAGCTTCACCACATTCGTTTCGTTCAAGTCACTGTCAGTTGACAACATGTGCAGTCCAGACGGTGCCGATGCAACACAGTTTCCTGTGGACTTCGAGCATTGCACCACTATCCAGGATAACAACGACCGCGCGGTTTGTGTTATCGCATGAATGGGCTGATAGCAGTCAAGGTGAGTTTTCAAGGATGCATGCACATAATAACCCTGACAAATAACAGCGTCAGCACTTGATGACATGCCTGATCGCGAAGCCTATTCCTTCATCTTCGTTCACACAACCTTCGTTCGCACATTTTCCATGCAAGCACGGTTCTACAAGGAACGTCCTACTCGCTGTTCACGTTTATACTACGGTACACGCGACAGTGGACTCTGACAAACACGGACATCAGCACGACCTTCGTTATATTACTCATGCTGTACGCACCGGTCTCGTAACATCTCTCCCTTTGTGTCATTCACCTGAGTCTCATTCCAAGAGTCTACATTCCACTTCATCCAGCCCCAGCCCTCCTTGATCTGCTTACAATCAGAGTCTGATAATGTAGTATACGTTCTATACATACTTCCGGTTTCTTATGTGGTGCAACCACGATTAACCATCGACATTTCGTACTAGAGACGCGTTAGCGGGATTAACCTTCTAGTACTACAATAGACGTACCTCAGCTCCCACAGCAAAGAAAATAATTCTGACTGCGACTCTACGAGGTGCAAGGCAAACGAACATATAGTCATCTCCAACGTCGTTAAGCTTGATTCTCCAGGTATCACAGCCTGGACGGACGACAGAGAAGAGGCTGGAAGCATGCCTTCTGCCACATCTCTGAACGATAAATTTGAACAGTTGTGCATGCCTGTCCGTGCATGAAGCGCTTCTGCAGTGAACTGTCGGAGGACCACCAGATGAGTAGACTTGAGTATATGATACCGGCAGGTACCTACAGGGTCAGCCGCAAATAACGAGGGTCTCTTCAGCTCTGAGCTCAAAGGTGGAGGTTCCAGTTGCACCGGCTTCCTCTGTATTCGCGAGAGATTTGAGGTTCCGGCTGCGGGCGACTGTAAGGCATCGTAAGCCTTCTGGCCAGCTTGCCACCACTCGATGAACGAAAGTGTCGCTTCTCCGCTAGTCCTCACATTGAGTCAATGACGACCGATGGATATGTAGCCGTAGAGAGCTCACCTGCCTACGCCCACTCACTTGAGACGACAGGCTTCATACGAGTGAAAGCATACTGACCGCACGCCATGTCAAAGACATTAAACTTGCTTCGACCAATACGCTCGCCCTCCATGGCCCATAGTCTATGAGGATACACATGAGATGTGCAGGCTGGCACGACGAGAGTTTGCATTTCGCACCTATTGAACCACAGCCAGAGGACAGTCTTCACGCCAGGAAAGTGCGGGTTTCGATATGTTGCTCCGACCTTCCTATAATACTGAAGAAGGTAGTTCGAACACACGGCTTGGCCAGAGCATGTTTGTGCGAACCTCTTCCACACCGTGCTCTGAGTAGTTGTCTCTCATGGAATGCTTCAGTATGCCCTGGGTGATTTCACGATTTCCACGCGACATTGTGGTTCAGATATCCTCGAACGGAACAAGCTCAAAGTCTTTCTCTTTGAATGAACAATTTTATGACTCGTGTGCACGCGAAGTCAACGATACTAGGCTAGCAGGCCCGCAGAGGAGATGAAGACCGAAGACGAGATATGTAAGCGCTCAAATATGCTCTGTGTGCGAATTTCCCCGCTACTCCTTGCACGACTTTTCTTCTTCATTCCACCGCGTGCCGTCTCTATATGACAAGCTTCTCAAGCATCGTAAGAAAATCGTATACAGTGAGTTCAAGGGATAGGACAGCAGTCTGAGACGTAGAGCTTGGATTACGCTACTTTGTTGCGCGGGTTTGAACTTGGGACTACGATAGCTACTACACCCCTTTAGGCGTTAACGTTACTCGGAGGATGGTGATGAGGCGGGTTGAGTGCGAGGGGTTGCCGAATGCTGTCGAATGCATCGAAGATATGGCGGCCGCGGCTGGGAGTTCGCGCCAGAATGGGTTCTGAGCGCCGCTGGCCACTACGCGACACCGATTACCTCTTGGCAAGTCAGACTTCAGGACACTGAAAGACCACTAGACTGATAGCTGGAGCTCACTATTGTGTTTAATTGAACAGTTGCTATTGGCTTCGAGAGTATACTCATGCTCAGTCGCTGCAGCTGCGCAACACTGTAAATACCAAATATCCAGGTGGAGATACGATACTCGCCCACAATACACTAACTTAGTACTCAGGATTTGCTGTCCCTCTGCAATCTGCATATCTTTGAAGGCCTTAAGTCAAGCTTCAAACTTTTCCCACAGGGTTTCCGAGAAGTAGAATTCAAGCCATACATGTACACATATATGAGGACTTCCGGCTCTCTTGCCGATCAAGGTGCGATTATACGTAACTCTCAGCTCGTGTCCGCCAAGACGCGGTAACCTACATCTGGCCCAAACTCTCGGGATGTGCTAGCGCGTCTCTTGTATTTATAAGTAAAGCTAAGGTAGGCCCAGTTCATTTCCCTCTACATCACGTGCTCAAGCGCCGTCACGCCTCGCAGAGGGTACGCCTCGCAAATCTATCTTCTCTTCGTAGCCTCCAGTAGCAAATAAATTTGAGGCATCAAACTCTTTAAAATAGATGGTATACATTATTGATGCCTCGATTCTGCGAAGTATTGCTCTTGTTGTCAAGAAGAGAGAGTTACAAGAGTACAACAGCGGGACTGACATAATCAATAAGCTCAGCGACTGTTTCATGAATATTCGTTGCTGGGCTGGGGAAAGCTAATAACAAACTCAGTAACACGATAAGAACGCCTAAGCACAACATAGAATATAGACTCATTTCTCTGGAATACATTTCTTACGCATTAATCACTATTACCGTTCGCCTTCCCAACCTCCAACCTCCTATGGAGCGAATGATGTATTACGCCGGTACATGTTTGGAGCTTAAATTATCTTATCCGGCCAATCGTGTGATTGTCACGCTGTGACGAGACTAGAGGGAAAGGAACTGGGTCTATCTTACGGGTAAGCGATTCCCTTCCTCCAGTACAACTTCAATGAGTTCTTGTACACCGGCACGTTTGAGCGGGTGGCCCCAAATTAATCTTTAAGACTTAACGTATGCATGCCTCAGCTTGAGCTTGCCGTCACGTCAGCAGTTGAGTATTGCTGGCATGTCAAATTTTAATCTAATCTAATAATTGAATACAGGCAGGGTGAGAAAGTGCGGCCGGCCGAGGTATTCTCGTCCGAAGAACGGCATACTCCAGAGTCTCCATGTACCTTAAAGATGCGCACAAGCCTAGGTCGTATGCCGCTTTTCTCTTACCAACCACCACACCGTGCACCACCCAAAACCCATCCTGCCCACTGTTACTATGAGGCGCTCTACTCGTATTCTCATTTTACTAGTGATAGACGTTGTGTTCTTTTTCGTTGAGCTCATCGTCGGTAAATCTACTTGCGTGTTTGTTCATAAGATTAAATTGGCTTATTGGGCTTGCGATACAGGATATGCGGTCGGCTCGCTCGCTCTTGTCGCGGACAGCTTCCATATGCTGAAGTAAGGCTTTTCTAATCCCATTGACCACCGAACGGGCCCAAACTGTCATCATCAGCGACGTTCTGAGCCTTGTAGTTGCGTTGTACGCAATTAAGGTATACAATAACCATGTCCCACCTGGTAACGTACTTATACTACTTCTCTTCCAACAGCTTACGAATCAGCCCCGTATCGACTCAAAGTACTCCTATGGCTGGCATCGCGCGGAGATCTTAGCAGCACTCATCAACGGCGTCTTCCTCCTCGCACTCTCTTTTTGGAGGCTGTCGGGAGATTCTTCTCGACACCAGGTGAGCACAACGATAGTTACTGGCCCATCAGTAAATAACACGCGAGATTTAGAGATATCACAGCCTCGTCTCGTCGTGATAGTCGGCTCCCTTGGATTGGCATCGAACATAGTTGGGCTCATTCTCTTCCATGGTGAGTGGAATGGAGGCTGTGCCGTCACTCTGGCCTCATCGAGACTTTAGAACATAGCCATGCGCACGATCACAGTAAGACTGCCCCCGTCACGCATACACCTAGCGTCCGCAGACGGAGTGGAAGCGATTCCAGTCGTACCTCGCTTTTCGGCCTCCCTGCGGCGACACGTCAGTATATGGTGCAAACTCTGAACGAAGCCGCTCGTGCGGAGTCTTCAAGGGAAGATGGTGGCCATGAATCCTTCGTCGACGAGCATACTGCGTTGTTAGGGCCGGGACAGTCCCAGGATGGAAGTGACCCGGAGGTGCGGCATGGAAATAGCTCACGTAGTGCGACCTCGGGTCACGGCCACGGCTCAATGAACATGCGCGCCCTGCTCCTGCACGTTTTCGGCGACGCCCTCGGAAACGTCGGCGTCATTGCCACGGGGCTTGTCATCTGGCTCACGCACTGGAGCTGGAAATACTATTTTGACCCCATCATCAGCCTGGTCATTACCGTTATCATTTTCTCTTCTGCTCTACCTCTTGGTATGTACTGCTTCTTTGTCTTGCAGCTGATAGACTGACACAGCACGGCGTTCAGTGCGGAGCACGGCCTTCATTCTCCTCCAAGGTGTCCCAACCACAGTGTCGCTTGATGAAGTCCGCTCCGCAATTCTCGCAGTCGATGGCGTGCTGTCGCTCCACGACTTACACGTCTGGCAGCTATCAGAGAGCAAGATCGTCGCTTCCGTCCACGTGATGGCGTCTAGGAAGCACGATTTTATGCCAGTTGCCGCAGATATCAGAAAAGCTTTGCACGAGCACGGCATTCATTCGAGCACCATCCAGCCGGAATACCAATCACATAACGTAACACCCCGGGAACCGTCAGAGGTCAGGCTTATTTAACGACACATCTCTACTGTGTTGACCTTCCTGATACTTCTCTAGACGGACAGTAACAACTGCTTGATACTGTGCCCGCCAGATCAGACGTGCGCTGCGGACAATGCCTGCTGCCGTAAGTATTCGCATATACTATCAGGTCAGCCTCGAGGTTCTTGTTATTGACGCCGTTCTCTCAGCACCTCCGCCAGCTCAAGAAGTCTGAACAGAAATCAACATTGCAGCTGTTGTCCTTGGTGGGTTAGATAACCACTTTCATTGCTATCTGGTTAACTAGTTGATCGTGAGGCCGTCCTCGGTCAGTTGCGCTCCGCTTGAAATCATAAGATATGTCTGCTGCATTGCAGAGCGCATTTGTATTATGCCATCATTCGATTTGCAACTCCTGTGTCGAATTAGCTGCCTTATAGCCTGGCTTCACTCTAATTTGAACAGCGTCGCCTTGTCATTAATTTTGGTTTCGAGTAGGTTTCAGCGTGCCGCGTTCCGAAGCGAGAAAGCGGGGAGATGTTTTGCCCAAGGTCCTGTGAAGCTCGAACCTTCGAAGCAGTAGGCGCAAAGTCTATTTTCCTAGTGAAGTGAAATACTCCCAACGGGTCTGTAATGTATCACCTCAGCTGTGATTCACATCGGTGCTGCCTGGTTGATTGCATTATATCTCCGAGGCTAATCTTGCTTTTCACGACAGACCGAGATAGAAAGCCAGTCAGAGACTGCCACCACCCGTGTAACTTCGGGCAGTTCGCCCGCCAGCTTATCACATAGCCTAGTCGTTCGATCCCATTTGTTTGCGCCGTGATCAACGCGGTTTCAACCTTAAGAAATAGAGTAGCAAAGCCAGAGTCACGATACAAGCTGCTGCTGCTCCCAACAAGGAGAGACTCGCTATGAATAGCACGCACTGGTTTATTAGTGATTCTTCAAGTCAGCCTAGGGGCCATTTTTTCGCTAACTAAACTTGCAAATCCCTACCCTTCGCTACGAAGGTTTCCAGTACCCCTCCAAGCCGCGATGTTCCGCAACCCACAAAGTGTCCCATAATCCTCGAGGGCACCACCATAGCTGCATTTAATGTCTTGGTTTTCCGTGTGGCATGAGGATGTGACACAGGTCGGAGACGCGGGATGCCTTCCATTGTGAGGCGGTGCGGAGTCTTCGGTGGCATGCTGTGCGCTCAACAAACCAGACTGCACCGGTGTTCCGGGTCCTGGAAGAATTGCGCGGCTAGTGGGCCAGCGGCTTACCTTTGTAGTGCCCTCGTGCTCGCAAATGGTTTGTGTTGTAGTTTATTCTATGCCCCTCACAGCTATCTTACGAGCTTGCGAAATTATCGAATCCTCGGACGGGTCGGCTCGCGCCAGTCTTGTTCAGTACGTCATGTGGTCCTTAGCTTACGTGACGGTGTACTGGTGAACGTTGAGGTGTCTAAACGCGAACCTATTCTAGATCTCCATCGCATGGGCTTCTGCCGTGCCAGAATGACCGTTGCGTCCCTTCTTCCGTTCATCACCGTTTCTAACGCGGATGTTGGGGCACGCGATAAGCATTTCTGCACTCTCTTGTCGTGGGTACCGTCAGTAGCCTTATGTGAGAATTGCCGACCGTAACGTCGAGACCGGCGTGTCAAAGTGCGCCTTAGCAATTCTCGGGAGCACAGGCTGTCGCTGTCTTGATTTGCCGAGGTCATCGATGACTGGTGTCCGCGCGGAGATCACGTCTCAAACTGCACCACGGTCATGGTCTCTGACGGTGAGAAGGCAGATAGAGAGCATTGCGGTGGTGTGTCTACACGCTGGAGTACTGTGTGGTATATATGTCGATGCGCCACAAGGCTGCGAAGCTCAGCACTAGGAGCTTGTCACGATGCATACCATGGCCAGAATCTGTCCTTGACGGCGAAACACTGATTTAACATCCAGATAAATTCTAATTCCCTCGATCGTTGCCGACATCTGACTTCTCCGGTTTAACTTCAGGGCGCCAAACCACCGTACGAGTCATCCGGACACCACGTCGCTTCCGGGGACGATGGGATATCGCGGGTGCCGATATGCGTCGCGTCCCCTTGCCTTGTCGGCTTGACATGACGTAATTCAAGCCATCGAGAATCTTTGGCAATTCGTTCGGTAGGCGGCCGAATCTAAAATTTGGCCGTTCTCGCAAAAGACACTTAAGCTACGGCTTCTTTTTTCTCGTCACCTGTGTGGCCATTAAGGTAAACGAACACGAAGGCAATATTTGCGTACCTCGCTACTGGTGGTGCCGGCCAGCACACGTCAGCTCGTGCCGCATCCAAATGTAGCCCGGCAAGCCGATGACTGTTTCGCATGAGGCTTTTCTTCTCTCTGGTACGCTGGCTGAGGAAAGATTCCCACCTCTGGCCAACGTATAAAACCCTCAGCACGTAGACTTGCTGGTCTTCAATCAGCTTGACCATTCACCGTCTCCCACACCTCAGCGAGAAACATCAGAACTACGCACATAATGTCTGGTTTCTTGGCTCCTCCTCCTCTGCCTCCCACCAAGCTCGGCATCCACAGACCTCTCGCTTCCCGCGCAGGCGTTCACGTCTCTCCCATCCAGCTCGGTGCCATGAGCATCGGCGACAAGTGGCAAGAAGTCGGCATGGGAAGCATGAACAAAGAGTCCAGCTTCAAGCTGCTGGACGCGTTCTACGACGCCGGCGGCAACTTCATCGACACCGCTAACAACTAGTGAGTTGCGCACTCCCTGCATGACGCTCTGAGTGTGCGGGCAACGGTGACTGACCGCCTCCCAGTCAAGACGAGTCTTCGGAAGAGTTCCTCGGCGAGTGGATGGAGCAGCGCGGCATCCGCGACCAGATCGTGCTCGCCACCAAGTACACGACCGACTTCCGCCGTGGCAAGGGTGGCCAGCACAGTGCCTTCGTCGGCAACAGTGTCAAGTCCATGCATGTCTCCATCACCGCGTCCCTCAAGAAGCTGCGCACCGACTACGTCGATATCCTGTACCTGCACTGGTGGGATTACACTACGTCCGTGGAAGAGGTGATGGACGGCCTACACACGCTCATCCAGCAGGGCAAGGTCCTCTACCTTGGCGTGTCCGATACGCCCGCGTGGGTCGTCTCGCAGGCGAACATGTACGCGCGAATGGCGGGCAAGACGCCGTTCACGATCTTCCAGGGCAAGTGGAGCATCATGGACCGAGATATTGAGCGCGACATCCTGCCGATGTGCGTTGCGCAAGGTACCGTCACATGTAACTCATCTACCCTCGACAAACGCTGAACAAATAACACTCAGGCATGGCGATCGCGCCTTGGAATGTCCTCGCTGCTGGGAAGATCCGTACTGACGCCGAGGAGCAGCGTCGCCTCCAGTCCGGCGAGCAGGGTCGTCAGATCTTCGACGACTGGAAGCGCACGCCCGAGGAACGCAAGGTCTGCCTCGAGCTCGAGCAGGTCGCGAAGGAGGTTGGGGCGAAGAACATCACATCTGTCGCGATCGCGTGGATCATGCAGAAGGCGCCGTACGTCTTCCCCATCATCGGCGGACGTAAGATCGAACACATGCACGGCAACATCGAGGCACTGTCGATCTACCTGAGCGACGAGCAGATCACGCGCCTCGATAGCGTCGTGCCACTCCACAAGGGATTCCCTTATGCCGAGTTTGTGAGTGTTTATGTGTCCGCTAGCTGAGCTAGACCTAATCTGAATTATACGTAGGGCGACGGAACAGGCTTCAATTTCTTGCATCAATCTGCTGGTCACTTCCAGAGGTGGCCGAAGGCTAGTCCTATCAAGCCCTCGCCCTCCACATAGTAGCCGCGAGGGTCACTACATGTCGAAGTGACGCACTCTTGACGGGGGCCAAAATGTACTGTCTCAATTATCATTTCATCGAGCTTATCGCGTGTCCGGAGCTGACATTACCTTTCGCGGAAAATTGAGAGAAGAGGCCGAATGTCATTGGCATTCAGAGACCTCATCAAATCAGAATTCAATATCTAGTTCGCTGATGCGACGTACTGGGTACGGTGGTGGCCCTTGAGGGGTGCTCGTCGTCGGCTTTGATTTGTGGAAGCAGACAACTCTCAATGATGACGGGCGCGAGCACCGTCGTCCGAGTCTCGGGCTGTGTCGGCATCTGCTTTTTGATAGAAGATTCTAGGGGCAGATGGATGCAACCGCAGAATATCGCGTCGTGCGCCACAAAGGTGTGAAGCTCGGTGTACCGTGATCAAAGCGTTCACGTGAGCTTTCAAAATCTGATCTGAGACAATTGCCGACTTATCGGAAATCCGGCCTTGCGGGGCCGGCACCAAGTGTCCAGACGTCCAGGCCCTACGCTGTTTTCGATGTTGCGGATGGTGCCGAGGAGCGTCGCGTCGTCGGCCTGACGTGGCCACGTCAACTCGTTCGCGGGCGACCAATTCTGAAAATTGGCTGTCCTGCGAAGAGCTCCTGCTCTTGCCGGGTCCTGACCAGCACACGTCACCCCCTGCCGCGTCCTGCCATAGCTCGGTGAGCCTGTCGCTCAGTAAACATCCCCGAATGATCATTTCCCGCATCGGGCCTCTCCTCTCTGGTGCCTCAGCTAAAGCCATGGAACGTTCTCAGCAGCTGGACTGCCTATAAAACCTCGTCGACACGCTTGACATCGACCAACATCTCACATCTCCTCATATCCAGCAAAGCTCTCTTACTGTCATACGCACAATGTCTGCTTGGGCTCCCCCTCCTCTGCCTGCCACCAAGCTCGGCATCCATAGGCAGCTTTCTTCTCGTGCAGGTGTACATGTTTCCCCCATTCTGCTCGGTGCCATGAGCATCGGCGACAAGTGGCACGAGTTCGGCATGGGGAGCATGAACAAAGAGGCCAGTTTCAAGCTGCTCGACGCGTACTACGCCGCCGGTGGCAACTTCATTGACACTGCCAATGCTTAGTGAGCTGCCGTTTGGTTGCACAATGCTTAAGGCGCGATGACTAACGTCCTCGCAGCCAAGATGAGTCTTCCGAGGAATTCCTCGGCGAGTGGATGGAGCAGCGCGGCATCCGCGACCAGATCGTGCTCGCCACCAAGTACACGAACGATTTCCGCCGCGGCAAAGGCGGCCAGCACAGCACTATTGTCGGCAACAGTGTCAAGTCTATGCATCTCTCTCTCGCTGCGTCCCTCAAGAAGCTCCGCACCGACTACATCGACATCTTCTATCTCCATTGGTGGGACTATGCCACGTCCGTGGAAGAGGTGATGGACGGCCTACACACGCTCATCCAACAGGGCAAGGTCCTGTACCTCGGTGTCTCTGACTCGCCAGCATGGTTCGTTGCGCAGGCGAACACGTACGCGCGGTGCATGGGCAAGACACCGTTTGCGATCTACGAGGGCAAGTGGAGCATCATGGACCGCGACATCGAGCGGGATATCGTGCCTATGTGCGTTGCCCACGGTATGTCCCCCCGATCCTGATTGTCTTTGGCGGATGCTGACGGCTGGCTCATCAGGCATGGCCATCGCGACGTGGAACGTCCTCGCCGGCGGCAAGATCCGCACCGACGCCGAGGAACAACGCCGCCTCGAGTCCGGCGAGGAGGGTCGCCAGCTCTTCGTAGATTGGAAGCGCACGCCCGAGGAGCGCAAGGTCTGCCTCGAGCTCGAGAAAGTTGCGAATGAAGTCGGAGCGAAGACCATCACGTCGGTTGCGATTGCCTGGGTCATGCAGAAAGCGCCATTCGTGTTCCCCATTGTTGGCGGGCGGAAGGTCGAACACCTGCACGACAACATCCAGGCGCTATCGATTCACCTGAGCGACGAGCAGATTGCACGCCTTGACAACGTCGTGCCATTCGAGAAGGGATTCCCCTACAGCGAATTTGTAAGTATTCGCTCCTTTTGTATTTCGCTAGCAGGGCTGCACCTAACTTGGATTGTGTGCAGGGCGACGGCGGAGACTACGGTTTCCTGTTCAAGTCCGCCGGTCACTTCCAGAAGTGGCCGAAGGCTGGCCCTATCAAGCCTGAACCCTCGACGCAGTAAGCGTGAGGTTTTGTGCCTGGTTGAAATGAGGTACTCCCGGGGGATAAAATAAATGGTCTCGATTACTTCTAGCGTCGTGACGGTAGCGGTACAATGCACTACGTATTCGGAGCTTATCTTACCTTTTTGCGGCAAATCAAGAGAAGATGTCGGACAAGCGCTGTCAACGTTTGGGAAGCAGAGCCAGGGTCACAATTAAAATCACTTCTCCGGGAGCCAGAAGCTCGCCGTTGAAGCGCACATTCACCTACCGACAAGCGTCCGGCGTCCAATGATCGAGGGCCGTCTGCTCCGCTAATCATTCTTCTTAGCAGCCTGCTAAATCTCAGTCAGTACACTCGACATATCTCGTGTCCTCGTTAATGCAAGGGCAGCTCCAATTGCATGATTTAATCTCCTGGTCTAAGAGCTGTGACAGTCATGGCCCGGGTAACATGGGACGAGTACCCGGAATCACTTCGCGATGCCCAGCAGCCTACAGAAAGCACCCCATCGTTCTCGCATGCAGCGTAGGTGCGTTAGAGTTTTTTAATCTTATGCCTCATGAGACGTCCCTAGCTGCAGGAGGATGCGGAGGCGGCAGGCTGAATAGGCGAGCGGGGCTCCTCCACGGCCGCAAGGCGGTCTGGAGTCTCCGGGGGCCCCGCGCCGGCTCAATAAGCGCCATACCACTATCGACCCTTTGTTTAAGCCCCGTACGCCGGGCTATTATGTTCTGTTACTTGCAAATAGCCTGTGTTGTGGCTTATTCTACGCCATTACAGGTATTTTACGAGCTTGCTGATGTTCCGGGTCTACGGAATGAGCTGATTTACATCTAAGTCGCACTCTGTTCGTCGTATGGCCTGTGGCCTTTAGTTCAATCAAAAACCACATATAGCAGAATTTTATATGGCCTACGTACACGCCGAAACACTGGAAGGAGCGTCGATGCGGCATGAAGTCCATTTGTGCGACTCGACATAGTCGATGGAACTCGTATAGGTACAATCATAATGTACCGTCATTGGAACCCGCATTTGATAGCGGTGTTTATGCCAAGTCAATCTTAACATATAGTTGTTCGAAGTTCAAGCTCAAGCCCAGGCCTAGTATAGAAACTAGTATAGAGATGAGCTTTGCTCCTTCGATAATATCTACCGATTTGTTGAAATCAATCTTCACGGGTTCTACTTCAGGTCACTAAGCAGCTGTGTAGGCCGCCCTTTAAATCTCACGTAACACTTGGGGACAGCTGTAACGTACTCCTTCACATTCGTTGGCGTGATCTGTCCAGCGTTAAGAGCGCTCTAGGCGCATCAAGCGGCGTCGTGATGCGCTTCCACGGGCCATCGGGCCGGTGCCTCGGATACGCGTGTCATGAGACATCGTCATTTGCAACCGGCAAAGACTTTCAAGCTCAGGCCTCGTTATACCTGTCATTACCGGTTTCAGTGAAAGAAACTGAGACCCCAATAAGAGCAAGTACTAGCGCATGTCAAGTTCTGCCACATCGAGCTTAGCAGTAGCTTTATTTCTCAGCGGCAGCCTGAGAGTTGGGTGAACAGGTTTCGCGCCTGACTTCTCTTCTCTCCAGCGTCCAGACTGAAATACGTTCCCTTCCTCAGGCCAGCGTATAAGATCCTCACCTCGCCGACATGCACAGCACTAACCACTCGCAATCACCCGTGCACCCGCCTACACTCGGCAAGTCTCTTTTACACTTGCGCGCAGCATGTTCACTAGCAACGCTTGGGCTCCGCCTCCTCCGCCTCTCACTAAGCTCGGCATCCACAGGCAACTTTCTTCTGGCGCGGGTGTCCATGTATCTCCTATTCAGCTTGGTGCTGGGAGCATCGGTGACAAGTGGCAGGCATTCGGCATGGGGAACATGAACAAAGAGTCCAGCTTCAAATTGCTCGATGCGTTCTACGACGCCGGTGGTAACTTCATTGACACTGCAAACGACTAGTGAGCTGCACACAAAACGCTTGGCACCCGCGACTAGCGATGACTGACCTCCGTCTAGCCAGGACGAGTCGTCAGAAGAGTTCCTCGGTGAATGGATGGAGCAGCGTAACATCCGCGACCAGATCGTACTCGCCACCAAGTACACGAACAATTTCCGCCGCGGAAAAGGCGGTCAATACAGCGCCTTCGTCGGCAACAATGCCAAGTCCATGCACATCTCCGTCACTGCATCCCTCAAGAAGCTTCGCACTGACTATATTGACGTCTTCTACGTTCATTGGTGGGACTACACTGCGTCGGTGGAAGAGGTGATGGACGGCCTGCACGCACTGGTCCAACAGGGCAAGGTTCTGTATCTCGGCATCTCTGACACACCGGCGTGGGTTGTTTCGCAAGCGAACATGTACGCGCGGTTGACGGGAAAGACACCGTTTTCGATCTATCAAGGCAAGTGGAGCATTATGGACCGGGATATTGAGTGCGACATCCTACCGATGTGCATTGTACAGGGTATTCTTCACCTTCAGTAGCTCTGCAGTTGTCGGACGCTAAAGACTGGCCCTTAGGCATGGCGATCGCACCATGGAGCGTCCTTGCTGGCGGAAAGATCCTCACGGATGCCGACGAGCAGCGACGCCTCGAGTCCGGCGAGCAGGGCCGTCAGGTGTTTGGTGACTGGAAGCGCACGTCCGAGGAGCGCAGGGTTTGCCTCGAGCTCGAGAAAGTTGCGAAGGAAGCCGGAGCGAATACGATCATGTCGGTCGCGATCGCGTGGGTCATACAGAAGGCGCCATACGTGTTCCCCATCGTTAGTGGGCGGAAGGTCGAGCATCTGCATGATAACATTGAGGCTCTGTCGATCCACCTGAGCGACGAGCAGATGAAGCGCTTGGACAGCATTGTACCGCCCCACAAGGGATTCCCTCATGCTATTATTGTGAGTCTCTTTCTTATTCGTACGTCCGCTTGCCGAGCCGTGTATAACTTGGACTATGTGTAGGGCGACGGTACGGACTACATTTCCTATACAAGGCTGCTGGTCACTTCCAGAAGTGGCCGAAAGCCGGTCCTATCAAGCCTGAACCCTTGCTTTAGAAGGTGAAAGGTCTGCTCGCATGAAGTGTTCGCAGCGGATCCGGAGTGTATTATTTTGGCTACGACATTGCCAGTAGGCAACGGTGCGGTCAATCGTATCGTCTGTCAAGGATGCAACACACTGGTATGCATACAGACCTGATCTATGTTTGTGGCCACCTAGAGACGAAAAAATAGGCGAGAGCTGTCCTAAGACGAAGGTGTTAAGATCGTGAACATATATCAGGCTGTGTCTATGGAAGTGAGGATGTTCACAGACAAAGTGAGCCGCACTGGAGCCACGACAGTAACAAACCCGGGGGCAAAATTCGAAGCAAGCGCGACGTGCTCTCGGAGTTGCACCGTAGACAATTCGTAGACTCGTAGTGTTTGCGCGGCGCCGGTAGCAGATTTAAAGTCACAGATATATTAATTAAGTGGTCGCTATGAGAAGATTTCGCGAGAACTCTTTCGTACTTCCGAAAACATAAGACAATCAGGCTGATTGCGCCACATGAAAGCGGGAAGGAAAAAAGGAATCCCGCGATGACGAAACGCCAGCCATTGTGGCGTCCAGCAGTGAGTCCAAAGTATGCTAGATCCAATTCAGCAGACAGAATTGGCAATTAGCCTCGCAGAACTTGTGTATCTGGGAGGTATAAAGTAGCCTGAGGTTGACGAGGGCGGTTGACGTCGCTCAATTGGAGAGGCGGATCAAATTGATGGGTTCCGGGGACAGCCGATCAAATCTTATGCGCCGAGGCTTCCTCACGCAGTTTCCTCTCCATCCATTCCTTCTGCCTGGGCTTTGAGGGATGTTGGCGACCAAGGATAAAACAATCATGAAGCGGAAAAGAGTAGCGGAGGTACGTACATGACGTATCCCTTGTGCTCGTGTATCCTAACGGCAGTCGTAGGAAGACAAGGCTGCTCGTTATGCAGGCAAATTGGTGTGTCTCACAAGTGCACCTCATGCTCTACCTCCTAACGGAATGAAGATATAGCACCACTGTGCTAAAGAATTGAAGAAAGCTGCGAAGAAGGCTAAGGACTTTGAGATCCGTAAACTAGTGAAGCGGCTGAAGGGCCTCCGGTATGTTCGCCCAGTACTCCTTACACATTAGCATGCCGATACTCGACGTTCCAGGGTGAAGAAACCCGCACCACCTGAGCTTAGAGATTTGGAAGAGCAGCTGGTACTGCTGAAAGTAAGTCATCTCCATACGGCCTATCTACCATACCCTTATTTCCAACATACCAGGAAATTGATCATAAAACCATCGCCAGCATGGCGTTGAAGACGAAACTGAAGAAGGATAAGCAACTGTCCGAAAATGAAAACCTCGTCGCTGCGATTTCACAAGAGCTCAGCTGCCTCATTGTACCTGCGCAGCCCGGCTCGAACCTTGCCAAGGTGCAAGGTCGTTTGCTGAGCCACAAGGTCATCGCCGCCGAGGTGCATACTATCGTTGAGGATGTTCGAACTACGGTATTCCCAGAATTGAAGCTGACCGCTGTGACTGAGGCTTCCGATGGTGAACTACACGAGGATGTTCCTTTACGACCCACGAAGAAGGTCAAGATGGTCTCAGCAGGCCCCGAGAAGACTGACGAGGGGGATTCCGATGATGAAAGTTCGCTGAATAATCGAGTGACTATCTCCGATGAGGAAGAGGTTGCGGACGACGGGTGGGACTCGGGAACTGTGCATGGAGAATCAGATAGTGAAGAGGAAGAAGATAACAAGGCAGAGGACAATGGGGTAGCATCCGAAGTAAAGACTAAGGATGGTGAAAGCGACGACGAGGATACAGTCTCCCGTTCAAAGCAGCCGCCGAGGAAGACTCCGCCTCCGAGAGCCTCCACGAGCAAGAAAGGAGAGTCGACGTTTTTTCCTTCGCTAGCTGTTGGATTCACCCGGGGTGACTCCGACGCGTCTGACTTGAGTGATGCTGAAGTTGCGCGCGCGGAGGGTGGTGCCAGAAAGAACAGAAGGGGTCAGCGGGCCAGGCGAGCGTGAGCAACCTACTCTCTTCCCGCTTATTCGTGGTTGTACTAATCAACCTGTCAGCATCTGGGAGAAAAAGTACGGCAAGAATGCCAATCATTTCAAGAAACGTGAAACTTTCGGAGCAGTAAAAGGTTACCCGAATAAGACGAGTGACCGAGATGTAAATGGATCTCGCGACAACCCGCGCGGCAACTCTCAGGCTAACAAGAGGCCGCACGCTCAGGCGCAATCTAGAAACGTCACATACTCTCAAAGAGCGTCGAGTTCACATGTATCATCAGGTTTGCGTGCTATGTATGCTCTTCCTATTGTACTCTGCTCATTGCCGGGTCCGTCCACAGTGCAGACAGGCCCGACAACGCGGAAGGAGAGAGACAAGCCGCTCCATCCATCATGGGAAGCAAAACGCAAGCTGAAGGAGAAGCAAAATCCGGCACTCATTGCGCCTCGGGGCAAGAAGATAGTCTTCGAGTAGTATTTTCAACCTTCTCTCTCCTGTAGCTCCTGTCTGCCTTGCTCGACTTTATTCGTATGAAATTGTGATTAGTGCTACGCACGAGTGGAAAAAATTAAGAAGAGAGGGATTAACGCCAACCTTCAGTGCATCTTGTCGCTGTTTTATGAGCGCCTGCAATATTGGCCGTGGGAAGCTACATCATAAGCGCTATATGCGTCACCGCCATATGCTGCTGCTGCACTTGTCCATCGTCTGTGTACTCCATTCTCTTGCTCTTCTCTGCCCACTATGGTCGCCAGTCCACGGATGGGTGACGGAGAGCTCGCTGCCATCAACGCTGCCGCTGTTACGCGCGAATACCGCGTCCAGCCCCACCTCGGTGCGTAAGCAGTGAGTCTGTTAATGACGCGCGACTGGATACTGAATATCGTCGTAGATTACAGGACAGTCTCTGCGGTTAACGGGTAAGCAGAAGATTAATATGTCACGTTATCTGCAATGATGTGACGATCCTCCTTCAGCCCACTGGTCGTGCTGGACAATGTTAAAGTGCGCAGTGCCTCGCTTATGTCGCGTATGATGTCTTAGATCGCTCTGCAGTTCCCTTCCTACAACGAAATCGTCCAGCTCACGCTTCCAGATGGTACCAAGCGTGGTGGGCAAGTGCTTGAAGTCCAAGGCAAGAAGGCCATCGTCCAGGTCTTCGAGGGTACCTCAGGTGTTGACGTGAAAGCTACTCATGTCGAGTTCACTGGAAGTAGCATGAAGCTCCCCGTAGCAGAAGACATGTTGGGCCGCATATTCAACGGCTCGGGCCAGCCTATCGACCAAGGTCCCAAAGTATTCGCGGAGGACTACCTGGACATTAACGGTTGGTGTATGTACCCTCGGTGAGCGTTATTACTGAAACGTCCTGCGCAGGCTCGCCCATCAACCCATACTCCCGTATATATCCTGAAGAAATGATCCAAACCGGTATCTCTACTATCGACGTCATGAACTCCATTGCTCGTGGACAAAAGATTCCCATCTTCTCAGCGGCTGGTCTACCACACAACGAGGTAAGGGCGCTGCATGGCGCGACAGGAGGACGCCATCTGATTCAGCTTCTAGATTGCGGCGCAAATTGTGCGTCAAGCGGGACTTGTCAAGCGTCCAACCAAGGATGTACACGACGGACATGAAGATAACTTCTCCGTCGTCTTGCAGCTATGGGTGTGAACATGGAGACTGCTCGATTCTTCAAGCAGGACTTCGAAGAGAACGGTTCACTTGACCGTGTGACGTTGTTCTTGAATCTGGCAAATGATCCTACCATCGAACGTATCATCACGCCCCGCCTCGCGTTGACCACGGCTGAATACTATGCATACCAACTCGAGAAACACGTTCTCGTCATTCTCACAGACATGTCCTCATATGCAGATGCCCTCCGTGAGGTGGGTTACCCTTTCTGATGGGAACAGTCATCATGTGTTGACACGAAACATGCGTTTAGGTCTCGGCCGCTCGAGAGGAAGTCCCTGGACGTCGTGGATACCCTGGTTACATGTATACGGACTTGTCGACTATCTACGAGCGTGCCGGACGTGTACAGGGCCGCAATGGTTCCATTACTCAGATCCCTATTCTCACTATGCCAAACGATGGTAATGCCTCGTGTCTGCCTACGTTGACCTATCTAATCCCTCAGGACAGATATTACCCACCCAATCCCTGATCTTACAGGTTACATCACTGAGGGCCAGATCTTTGTCGACCGTCAGCTGCACAACAGACAGATCTATCCACCAATCAACGTTCTTCCGTCACTGTCTCGATTGATGAAGTCAGCCATTGGTGAGAAGTTGACCAGGAAAGACCATGGTGATGTTTCAAACCAACTGGTACGTGATTTTACCTGTCACATGAATGACTGACCCTGACTGGCTATGCAGTACGCTAAGTATGCTATCGGTCGTGATGCCGCGGCGATGAAGGCTGTCGTTGGTGAAGAAGCCTTGTCACCAGAGGACAAGCTTGCACTGGAGTTCCTCGACAAGTTTGAGCGTCAATTCGTCGGTCAAGGTACTTATTCAATGCGTTTTTTATATATCCGCTGTTAGAGTTAATGAAAACTGCGTGGCAGGTGCGTACGAAGCGCGCAGTGTCATCGACTCCCTCGACCTTGCATGGAGTCTGCTGCGCATCTTCCCAAGGGAACAGCTCAACCGCATCAACCCCAAGATCATCGAGGAGTACTATGCGCGCAAGCCCGCGAAGAAGCCCGCAGAGGACGCAGCGAAGGCAGACAGTAGCAAGCAGGAAGAGAAATTGATCGACGCATGAAGCACATGAGGCCCTGTATTACAGAGTAATGGACCGGTGGACACTTCCTTAACGACCTGCAACTACTTGTACTTCTTTCTGCATGAACAGCAGAGAACGCCGCATGGGTTCTATGATATACAGATACAACAACCGCCAGGCAGGCTTTCGTTCCGCAGCGTGGATCGCCTTTCACTCTGCCTTTAAAGGTCCAATCGATGGCTCACAGTATAGTAGCTCAATTGAATGCTGGGTAGCCCGCCGTGAACGTGACGTCGAATCGGAGATTTCTGGAATTCAAAACGGCGAGTAGGCGTTTCGCAGGTCCGCGAGCTCCCGCGTGTTGAACATGCGTTATCCCCAGTCGCCGTCCAAAATCAGCAGCCTCAGTGACCTTGATGCGGTCAGACTGACCCAAGTACAGAGAACATAGGAAGCCTTGTTTGACGTGGAATTTGCACAGCGTACGGCGAATGAGGTTGTCCCGCAAACAAGCGGCCGAAATGAAAAGCACCGGCAGTGCCAGCGAACCCCAGGTGTACGTACGTGGAAAGTGCAAGCTACCAGATTCGAAACCCAGGTCGGTGCTGCAGGGTGAAGCATAGGGGAAGGTGCATCTGGAGCGGCACGTCCCCTCTCTAAAGCGCCTACTAGTGGCGTTCAGCCAAGCTCGTCGTTGTTGTGGATACGAACGGGCGATTTCTACACGAGCTAACCACACAGCGAACTTGACTGTACAGGGTATCCTAGACCCCGCGTTGCTTCATTCTTCAGCCGGCAGATAGCGGCCTGGCAGGCATCGATCGCGGAGCCTAACGACGAGAGTTCATCCTGAGGCCGTTTCAACATCCTTCATCCGAGCCTTCCTACCCAGAACAAGCTTTCATTAGGCTTCAGGATGTTTCTACTGCCTCGTGGCCCCCATACAGGTCTGCTAGTACGCCCCGTCAATTGCATCGCGTTCGAACATGATGCGGCTTACAATCTGGGCGCAGTGCTTATGATCTTGTCAGCGATATGCCAGTCTCGGTCTAGCACGCACCCGCGCCACAACCCTTGAGCTCTGGATGAATGTCCACCCCGCGGGTATCCTAGGGAGTTCCAGTATACGAAGTGTACTTGGCGCCAGGAGCTGTCCGGAAGACGGTGCGAGCAGATGCGGATGGAGCCCTGACATGCCGCGATGGTGGCGTTCGAGCAACGGTCGGGAGGCATCTTCTCATATTCGCGTCAGATGGTCATTCACCACCGCGCCGCCCAGTAAAAGCCTACGGTTCGGGGGCTTCGAGAGTGCAGTCGGTGCACTTCATTTCGGGCCTTCGCTTGCGGTGGCATTCCCACTTAGTCACGGGCGTTCTCGAAGGATAGCCGTTCAATGGGCGGTCGGTAGTATGGAGAGCCTGGCGACCCGAACAAAGCAGTCCGCTCAGATGTCCCGGAAAGAAATGGGCACAATAGATGCGCCCTACTCGAGCGGCAGAGAGCCTCGTGCCCAGGCATGAGCACATCTGTTACGACCTAACCCCGGTCACGAGATTAGATATCTGGATGTGGACCCTGCCCTGAGAAGGCAGAATTCTATGAGCACCAGGAAGGCGCGAACATCTGTCAGAGAAAGCTACCTTGACCCGGCAGCTCAGGCATGGTGGATATCACTTCACGGACATCGCACGGCTGCTCTCACGGCTACCGCGATGCATTGTCGCTGGTGTAGGTGCGGTACCGCAGCCCGCTTAGCGCACTCTGGAGGCAGCTGCAGGCTGAGGTGCGCCGGGAGCTCTGTGGTTACGTCTCCGAGATGGCAGAAGGAGGACCGGAGAAATGAGTAGAAAAGACAAGAGAGAACGTGGCAGCGGTGCTGGTATAACGTGCGAGATAACTCAACGGAGATTGTTTGGGATATGATCCGCCGAAGTGGGGAGACTCTGAGGCGACGGCCTGTGTACGCGCTGTAGCAAGCGACGATGGCCTGTGCCGCTGACGGTTGCCGCAAGATTATCGGCGGTCTCGTGAAGCTGCGTACATGGGGCGGTCGGGAAAGAATGGCTGGGAATTGACGCGAGGACGTCCCACGGGTGCGTGCAGGCTCGTTCTGGACGCCGCGGGCGTACATACGTCGCCCGGATAGACGAAGGGTGGATAGGAGAACACGCGGATAGCGGACAAAAGAATAAACTCGTGCGTGGATTGGATCGGAAGAGGCAAGATGGCCCCTGCAGCGGGACTGCGCCTCTGAAAGGTTTGAGGGGTGATGGCAGCGTGTGTAGCTCGGACGGCCTGCCACCACGCGCTGGGCCCTCGCCGCCCTAAATATGGTCGGCCATGTCTCTTCTTCCCAACCGCCATCTCCCTGCTCGCTCTTTCCCGCCGTCCCATGGACGACTGTCCTCATGAGTCTGCTCGTTTCCTCCCTCTGACCCGCAAGCGCAAGGCCGCCGCCGACACAGCGAACACAGACCCCGCCCCGCCGGACTCGCTCCTCATGAGCCCAGACGCTACGCCTCGCATACCTACAGAGCCCGCCGACGTCAGCAAGGCGTCCTGGCTCCTCGAGCAGCATGCCACCGCCGTCATCCCGTCCTGGCAGGAGCCGCCTTCCGGGTCGTCTCCAGCCTTCGCAATGCACACTCGCCAAGACGGCCCGTCCAAGCCAAAGCGACCCCGCATCGAGATACCCCAAACGATACCCACGTCTCCCCGCAAGTCGCGCAGCCGACGCCTCTTATATTCCAGTAATGTCTCTTCTCCTCGCAAGCCTTCTCGGCTACTCCGTCCTACCTTTGTACGAGACACAGGCGTCGTCTCTGCCGTCGAGCTCGGACACAGGGTCCCACCCCTGCACACAGGCGGCCTCGCGCCTCTTCCCTCACCTCTTCGGTCTACGGTCTCTCTTCCCGTCACTCCTATCGAGCCCAGTTACGCGCAGGTGCCCTCGCATCAGCCACCCATTAATAGAGAGACCCTGAAAGAGTTAGATCTGGACGCCATACTACGCAATCCTCAGCTTCGTGCGTACTCTGTCTCTATCTTATCGCCTGTGCCTGATTTTCCTTGGATTGATCGTATGCAGGACATGATCTCTTGTTCGATCCCGGTCTGCAGTTTCGTCCAACCTTCAGTCGGCGGAAACGAGACCTTGCAGAGAGCTATTGGATTGCCGTCGTGCGAGAGCTCGACACAGGCTGTACCTGTACCACTCTGGACTTGCAGGGTAAGCTCATCGAACGCCGATGTATCTGCGGCACAATACCTTTGCCTGCGGAGAAGCCCATCCGAGCCTATTCGTCCGCAGGCAACTTCGTCACCGTCAGGTCTCCATCTCGCCTCAGGCCTCTTCTCGCAGAGCTACTCGAGGTGCTCATCTCTATTATTCGTCCCGTGGTTTTGCGGCCAACTGGCCTTTCCTTGCAAGCAAACGTCGTCTCTTCGCAGGAACAGAACGACTCCCACGTTGCATATTTACGCTCCATCCTAGACGCAGATCTCATCCAGCAGGAGATTGAACACGGGGTTTTTGACCCCTCTGGTGTGTTCAAGGCGATCGGCGATATCATGCGATGTTACTGCGCACCCATGAGGGACCAGGCTGTTAACCAGATGGTCGCGCTCGCGGAGTCATGTTCGCCAGGAGGCACCGGCACCAAGGTGGACGCAGTACGCGCGATCCGGTTGTGCTTCGAGATTCTGGAGCTAATGAAGCTTGTACGTAAAACTGGGTCTGCCTGTCCGATCGTTCATTAAATCATTAATGAAACCTTGATAACAGGACGTGGCCAATCACCAACTGCAGACCCTTCGTCCTTATCTCGTCCGCTCCGCAGCCCAGTTTGAACTCAAAATGTTTCAAGAAAATAGACAGAAGGGCCCGCTGCCGCTGGAGGCTACACGCCAGTGGCTTCAGACAGCCTTCGACGACCTGGCGGCGCAAACAACTGACCCCCGGTCGTCTTCGAATCTTTCCGCCAGTTACTCGAGATACCCACGCTTTTTGCAGATACAACTCTCCGTCGTGAGGGCGGTTATTAACCTGATATTTGATTCAGCCTCACTACCTTCGCCGCCCTCCTCACCTCTTCCTTCGTCCATCGCCTCTTCGCCGCTAGTCTCCTCCCCGACTCGTCAGGGATACCCAGAGACGCTCTATCTGGATCATATCCGTCTTACCACCCTTCGCAACGATGCGGCAGATTTCACGACGCTTTACATGCTGATGATGCTTTATCGTCAACTCGTCCACTCCGGTTCCACACCGGCAGGTCCGAAGATAGCAGTCTCCTCAGACGACCTCGCCGCGCTCAAAAAGGAGATATGGGAAATTGGTCCGGCGCGGCTCGGATATTGCTTTACCTGCAGGCCGGCCTCGGGCATCGCGGACTCGGAGTCTGAGCTGGCGGCATGGCGCAAAGACATGGACGATGTCGTCTTGCAGCTCACCACGAAGGCCTGCGAAGCTCGTGCCCGGTCACGTTCATCCACTGCTTCACCCTCGCCCGCATCCTCAATAGCTCCGGTTCAGCGACCTATCCCGTCCAGCGCGCCGGACAGCCACCTGCTGAAACTTGCCACGAGCTGGACAGACTCCCATCTCCGCTCCGATTCGCCTCTCGGTGCCTTGATGAAGAAGCGCGTCAAGGAGGCTGTCGAGGATCTTGCGATATCGATCGTCCTCCCGAGCCTGGCATCGTCTACAAAGCCGGATGCTCCCTCTGTGCAGGAAGCAGCGCGCGTCGCGAGCGGCCTCGAACCGCTCTTGCCAGAGGTCCGACATCTCGCACAAAAGCTCTCAAAGCTGGTCTCCATACATCTTAACGTGTATGGTACGCTGTACACGCAGTCTGGCTTTGTTCAGGATCGGACTATGCCTGGTGCCTCTTCTCTCTCCGAGTCGTAATAGTGCCACGATACCCCCGTTTGCCCCTTTGTTCAGCTCTGTGCTACCCTCTCGTACTCCCACACTCGTTTGCACGGACTATTTGAACGTGTCTTGGTCTCTCGCTTTCACTCACTCCTTATCCACTTAGTATTAACGATATTTTGCACGATACGACGAGATTTACGTACAGATACCAACACAAAACTAATACAAACCTTTGCATATAAGCCTTTTTCGCGCGACTGTCGAGAGCGAAAGTGATGTGAACTAGTGGACCTTAAGTTCTGAGCGTGCCTTGGAGTATTTCGCCATCCACCGGTACAAGGAGACTCCCCGGAGACAGCCGGGTTAAGGGCCGCCCGTGGTGGCGTCGCGCCTCTGTCGCAATTTCCTTTTGGCCGACCACAAGTTACGGAAACGCCTCACAAACTCTAGGTTTCAAAAGCTTCAAGCTCCGGACATTTAGGTTGCTATGCAACAGGTACACCGACAATAGCTAACTTCAACGTCTGTAGGGTGTTCTAACAGCCAGATTTGGGGATTACGCATTCCATGACCGTCGACTGTCGTCACCAACAGCGCTTCTGCCCAGCACAAGCACCGGGTCTACTAGTCTCGGTAGTCTAGAGGGGCGAGGGTACATCGAATGCCCTATTCAATCAGAAGCTAAGTCAAAGACTTGTGTATATATATATGAGCTGTCGATCGACATGGGCCGAATGTCTCTTCACTCTCTCCTGGTTCCTCCAGCGCCAATAACAGCCGTATTTTCCCGAGCGGGCCACAAGAGATGGTAAGTGTGGGTCATCTGCCCCTTTGATTAATGGAGTGCTTACTGAGAGCTTGATGCTGCAGGTCCCAATGTTGCCGTACGAGCTGATCGCGATCATCGTGGAACTGGCTTATGAGCTGCACGGCACCCGCACAACTGAAACATGCACCCTCGTATCGTCTGCGTGGCGGTCGGCTAGCCGTCGAACGATTTTTCGCAGGGTCCGTGTGACAAGCGAAGAACGCCTGAACGAGCTCGTCATATTGCTCTCGATGGACCAGACAATCCCACCCCTCGTGCGGTCTCTTGTCTTCCGCGAAGACTTCTGTGGCCCTGAATCAACCCACGGATGGGTCAATGAGCTCCCGCGCCGACTCCCTGAGATGCTTCCTAACCTCGTCATCATTGAGTTTATCGGCATTCGCGAGCGGTTCGCAACGGAAGGATCGTTCGCTCCATCGCTCTCGTGTTTCCAGGCATTCAACAGCGTTCAGAGCTTCGTCATACGAAGTTGCACGGTCACCCCGGCTATCCTCGATTCGCTCACATCTCACCTCCCTGCCGTACAGGCGCTCTCTATATTATGCATCAACATGCCCCGATATCCTTCGAGCCCCACTCAGTCGAGCTCCCTGCGGGGACCCTCGCTGCGCTCTCTGGAACTCGACGTGGGCCACATTTTCTCCTCCGCGTTACGTCACATCCTCTCATGGGTCTTATCGACACCCTCGCGGACGACACTCCGCTCGCTGACCCTGACTCTGCGCACATCCGATGCTGAGGCTGCCGGCAGGTTCTTGCAAGAGGTCGGTCCGCAGCTCGAAGAGCTAGAGCTGCGATTCGAAGAATACCTTGGTCTGCCTTTGGAAACCGAGAGTAAGCATAGCTGTCTCTGTTGACGAAGAACTCGAGGCTAATTTTGCCTGTTTCTCTTCGTCCAGTTATTAAAAGCCATGTCCCTGTCAAGGTATGCGTGCGCTTGCGCAGCCTGACACTCTTCGACCCAAACCCGGCGTCTATCGCCATTCGCTCCTCCATCTCCGAGGTTCGCTCCCGATACCTGCGCAGGTTGTCCTTGCGTGTGCTGTCTACAGAGCGTTTAGGAGTCGCACAGCTCCCGGGTTTGTCTGGGCTTGCAGGAGTCCTGAACGGAGATAATCTCAAATCCCTCAGCGAGCTTTCATTCATTCACCACGGCCCCATGAAGGCTGCAGAAGTCGCGAAGGCGGTGCAAGCGGCCTTTTCAAGGGCTGCTAGCCGAAACATAATTCGTGTACTCATGTAGGCGTTATGAATCAATTGCTGGCTGTTTCTGTACTTCATATAAATCTGTACGAACTTCACTCTTTGGTCTCCCAGCCTATCTGTACTTTACACGACAGCTATGGGATAATGCCACATACTTTCAAACATCATTTCACTCGCGCTTAAGCAGGGGGTGGCTCTGCCAAAAGGTAATTTGGATACCCTGTCCAGAAGGAAAGTACTTCAGCAATTCAACTCTTCGACCAAATCAAATATCCCGCACCTCGTCCCAAGCAGCCTTGAAGCTTGGCCGGGCTTTAAGGTCTTCATAATACTTGCTGAGGCGAGCGAACTTCTCGCCGCGCAGGATCTCGAGAGTCTTCCTGCCATCGCCGGCAGGATACACACCCAAATCATTCTCGAGCAGCAAAAATATACAGGCCAGAAAAGGTGCGATGGTTATGTCGGCGATGGTCCACCTCTCTCCGACAGCGAATCCAGTGGCCGGGAGCTGCTTCTGGAGCGCGTCTAGACCGTCAATGAGCTTGGTGGCGGGCTCGCGTATGAAGAAGTATCCCTTGAAGCCCTCAAAGAATTGGCCGTCGACGACGGTGATAAAGAGGCGAGCTTTAGCACGGAGGACAGGGTCCTTGGGCAGCAGACCGGAATCTGGGAAGAGGTCGGCGAGGAACTCCAAGATGACACCAGACTCCCTGAGCTTGGTGGACTCAGGAGAGGGCTGCTCTGGATCGACTTTGGGGCCACCATAGGTGATGGCAGGGATCTGAAGCGTTGAATTTCAGTTTGTTGCCATAGCTCGATGACGATGAAAGTAACAACTGACCTTGCCAACCGGGTTGACCTCCTTAGTGTAAAACGCAGGCTTATTCCTCCAGTCGATGGAGTGGAAGGTGTACGCAGCATTTGCCTCCTCAAGGGCAATGTGGACCCTTTGGCCATAAGGAGAGTACTGGACATAAGATCATGTCAGACGCCTTTTAGAAAGCTGGGTCAATCCCCAGAGAGACCCCAGACGTACGATGTGAGAGTAGAAAGTGATTTGTTCAGTTTGAACCATGATGTGTCGCAGTCTGTGGATGCTTAGTTCCGAGTGCTGAGTGCTGGTGTTGCTTTAGCAGATCGCCAAAAGCTGCTTTTATGGGGCAGAACAGCTTGCGCAGCTATGCGGTGGCATGACAAGCTGACGCTGCTGGGACCAGTGAACCAATGAATCGCCGAAGAGAAGTTGCGCCTTGGCGGGCCAAATATGCCGTCTGAATGCCACTGAGAGCTGTGTCTATCTTGATAATCAGGAAGTCGTGCATTGACTCAGCACGTCGTCGCTAATGTTGCGCCGCGTAGCTGGCACGTCCGACGCCACAGGCATATCTACTGCGGACGAGAGTACAGCGGGCTGAGCGCCGCGGCCTCTTGGCGTTGGATACACCGTTGTATCCGTGATGGCGGACATCTAAAGACTGTTTAAAGATTAGGCTTGGAATATTCCAAGAGAACGCAGCCGTTGGAGAGGCTGCACTGCGACTCGACCGTGACTCGGAATGAGAGCAGACTCCTGCTTCAGGAAAAAAGTCTGAGACCAGAAGCGCCCCGTGAGCTCCGTGGTTTCAGCAGCCTGGTGGAACGGACCCCTATTACCCTGCGACCAGTATTCTCCCGCCATGTCTTCGTAGCACCCGTGGCGACCTGCATAAGTTCAGCAGCATACCGTGGCAGCCTGCATAAATTCAGCAGCACACCGTGGTGCTGTCGCAGCCCGCCTGTAGATACCAGCAGATGGCCTCCCGGGCTTTGCACACTCACTCATAGGGAATGGATTCATAGAAGAAATATATTGGGCACACAACTGTATAATACATGCTGGTGTAGACTACACTAGATTCATTCTGCTGTGGTAGGGGATAGACACGGGAGGTAGCCCTACAATATATAGCAAGTCAGGGCAATACTGTAAGATCTGCGGAGGCGTCACTCACCTGGGTCTTAGGACCGCTATGCGTCCAGCGCAGGGAGCAGCGCAGGACATGCGGCTGGTGATCTCGGACGTGCAGCCCGTCAGCTGCCCTTCTTGCGATACCCGCGCAGCAGCAGCGAGCTTGCTGTGAGGCGCGTCGCCGTGTAGCTGCAGGCGCCCGTGGCTGTGCTTGTGCTGGAGATTTCGAGGGCGCATTCAAGCGCAACACACCCGGTGCTCGCGTGCAAGCTAGGCAGGGCCACGGTCGATGTGTGTAAGTGTAAGAACATGGCATACCCTGAAATGCACGACATGAGGTGGAGGTGTATGGTAGATGCTACAGTGGGAGGTGGATTAGGCGGATCTTCTATCGGCTGATGCGAGCTCAACTTAACAACATCAAGATGATATAATCTAATGAACTCACCGATCACCGCTGCCCGTAATCCGTGAAACACCATACCCTTTGCTGAGAAAAGTAAGATAGCGGTGAAGGGCCGCGCCGCCCTCAACAGCTGCGGGTACCAGCAACAACGCGGTCATCGCGCCCCTAGTTCTTGTGACCTGTAATGCTTGTCGCATCATTCATGGGCTTCTTGGTTGCGCACAGAACGTTGTTTCGCTACTCTGGGGCTTGTGCGCCTGCTCCGCGCGTGACGATGCGACCTCGCTGCCCATGAGAAGGGTATGGTTATACGTCGGAGGAACATTACTTACGCAAGGACATGTATGGCGTCGACGCGTTGCCTGTTGACTAATACCTGACGCAGCGCGGTGGTGGCGTGGAACAAGGAGGGATGTTCGGGCGCTCGTTACCATCGGCCGTGCCATCATTCGTTAATTTAGGGCACCTTCGAACAGTACCTCAAGCTCAAGCTTCAAGCTTCAAGTGTCATAATCAAAATTTTGTATACCGTTTAGTTTCATTCACTAATATTGTAAGCATGTGTTTTGCATACAAATCTGGTCTACGGCGCAAGAAATTGGCCAGAGTTCTGTGATGTATATGAGTCTCCTGAGCCTCGCGCATGCACTAAGCGGCGAGCGTAGACGCGGTGGCTAGACGCCCCTGCTACGCAGCAAAGCGCTGTTTCCTGATGAATCTCAAATCCCTCAGTGAGCTTTCATTTATTTACCACAGCCCCATGAAGGCTACAGAAGTTGCGAAGGCAGTGCAGGTGGCCTTTTCAGGGGCTGCTAGCCAAAATATAGTTTGTGTACTTACCTAGGCATTATGAACCAATTGCTGGCTGTTTCTGCATTTCTGTCAGCAACTAACAATCCAACTGGACTGAGCTACGACAAGGCTGAGGAGACAGACGAGAGGAAAGTGAGTGAGGAAAGACCAGCTCGAGTCTGGCTTGTTATTGAGCAGTACAAGCTCCTTATATACATGTCAGACTCAATATCTAGAATATACTACGAATATACAGAGAGGTATAGAAAGTGAAAGAATACTGTGGAATCCGGGAGAACCATCTGGAGTATGTAATATTCATGACAATTTCACATGAGTTTGTACGAACTTTGCTCCTTGGTCTCCCAGCCTATCTGTACTTTACATGACAACCACGGAATGATGCTACATCCTTTCAAACAATTTTTCCCACAACGGAAAACATTTCACTCGCGCTTAAACATAGGGTTGCTCTTCCAAAAGGTAATTTGGATATCCTGTCCAGAAGGAAAGTAATTCAGCAGCAACTTCGACACTGCGACCAAATCAAATTTTCCGCACCTCGTCCCAAACAGCCTTGAAGCTTGGCTGAGCCTTAAGGTCTTCAAAATACTTGCTGAGGCGAGCGAATTTCTCGCCGCACAGAATCTCAAGAGTCTTCTTGCCATCGCCGGCAGGATACACACCCAAATTGTTCTTGAGCAACAAAAATATACAGGCCAGAAAAGGTGTGATGGTTATGTTGGCGATGTTCCACTTCTC